GAACTAACAGGTCATCCTTCCCAAGGGAAACAATCAATGCTGTTATGCTATCAATCCAACCCCCTATCAATGCTGTTAATCCACCCCCCAAATCCACCTCTTTCCTTCTGAATCTTCGACAAAAGATCACTTACCGAGATAACAACCCCTCCTCCGCTCTTTTGATCGAGCGTCAATCCTAATGGCTTGTCCACCTCCACCTCAATGTTACTCCCACCGCCGCGGGCCACCTGTGGCCCCCAACAACCCCCCCCCCCCCCCCCCCCCCCCCCCCCCCCCCGCCCCCCCCCCACACACACGCGCGCACACGCACACGCACACACTCATCTGAAGTTCCTAATGGAAGTTGGATGGTTACCAGGTAAAGTGAATTGAGTCCACTGACACTTTTCACTTTTTAATAATCTTGAAATGGGTGTGGACGCTTTCAAAAAAAAAAAAAAAAAAAAAGTGATGTGGATATGGATACAGAAGTAAAGTCAATGCCAAAAAAGGGCCAAAAAAGGGCCAAAAAAGGGCCAAGAAAAGGCCAAGAAAAGGCCAAAAAAGGCCAAAAAAGGCCAAAAGAGAGGCCAAAGAAAAACCAAAAAAGAGGCCCAAAAAAAGGACCAAAAAAAGAGGCCAAAAAAAGAGGCCAAAAAAAGAGGCCAAAGAAAGAGGCCAAAAAAAGAGGCCAAAAAAAAAGGCCAAAAAAAAGGCCAAAAAAAGGCAAAAAAGAGAAGGAAATTCAAGGAATAGAAATTTGCAAGATGCAAGATACAGTGATACACCCAGACTTCTCCCTTCGCGTTTTGTGTGAGATACAGCCGAGCACTCCGCATGTGCATGATAAATGTGGCCAGGTGCATTTGTCCGCCCACCTGGCCAATGTGCCTCTCTCCAGATGTAGAATCCCTGTTGTACGGTTGTACCCCAGTAAGGGAAAAGTCAAAAAGGAAAGCGAAAAGTCCACTTGCACCTCAGTAAGTTACCCTTTCCTTAAAAGGAATGCTGTACAAGATACCAAAAAGTGTAGCTCCCCCTTTTGGCAATCATGTTCAAACTTCAAAGTGAATGTCAGCCTGGTCACTTTCCGAAAGTGGATGCCAAAGTTACAGACTATTTTTTTTGCCCATGCAAAATGCAATCAAGTGAATGCCAACGTGGACGAGAGAGAGAGAGAGAGAGAGAGAGAGAGAGAGAGAGAGAGAGAGAGAGAGAGAGAGAGAGAGAGAGAGAGAGAGAGAGAGAGAGAGAG